GGTCAACCAGCCTAGTTCAGCTCGTCGTCACCTGCTCCCTCCTCCTTTGATGGCGAAGCCAGGTTACTGAGGCAATACAGCTCCCTCTAGCAAACCTAGGGCCGTGTAGTGCCCGTCCACCTTGCTGATGGTGTCTGCCTCCGCGCACAAAAATGAGATGGGCATCACTGCCTACGCCGACGGCCAGAAAGGCCCGCGCATCTACATTTTCCCGCCTGACCCCATCAGTGCCGACCCAACTCCACCACCACACGCACGCCTCGCGGCGGATGCGCATGCTTACGTTCGAAACTAACCGTTCGATAGTTTGCACGCTCTGCGTTGTTTACTCGTTTTTTGACGGCAGGTGGATGAGATAGCTCTTGATCTACTCGACAAAGCCCGGAAGGCCAAGATGCCCGTCACACGCGATGTCCTTCGAAGCTCCGGCCGTTCTGCCAGGGGTGGGCTACCATCGAGGACGACGAGGAGGTGGTAGAGGCGCTTCGATTGGACGCGGTGGAAGACATGACAGCACTGCTGGCTGGAACGAACTTGTCTACCGGCGGCGACGACGAGGAGGACGAACAGGACCAGGGCGGCGGCGGTGAGAACACGGGGCGCGAGTGCCGTGCCCCACGTGCGCCACCGGGTTATGAAGAACTGTCGTCTCACTTCGGCGCCCTGGAAGTGGCAGCAGAGGACAGCAGTGGCAACGGAGACGCGGCGTTCTACCTAACGAAAGCGAAGATGTCGACGATCGTAGCGCATTCCGCTAGGCGGGTGCGCCAGACATTAGAGGATTTGTCGCGACGTAGAGTTCATGGTTGTTTCTTTTTCTTGCGGTTCGCTTCCTGTCGTGTACTTGTAGTTTTTATTTTGTTCTCTTGCAACATCGAAGCGGGTACGCCAGGCAGACACTCCAGTGTCGCGACGTAGTTTGGGGAGGAGATACAACTGTAGTGCAGCAGTATTAAATTGTTGTTTTCTTGCAGTGCGCTTCCTGTCGTGTTTCTTTTTCTGTTTGGTCTTTTGCATCTTGCAACATCCAAGGAGGGGCTCCAGGGCTGAGATATAGCTACGTCCACTTGGTACGAACGGGAGCCTTACAAGCATCTTGCCGTCAACAGCACTTTCGAGAGTTCAGGGTGTGTAGTACAGTTCATGTGCTGAGGCAGGCGGAAAATGACGGTTCAATATCCAAGAAAATATTTTTACAACTCGCCCTCTGTGTGTGCGACAGGGGGGAACCATACTTGTCGCGAGGAAGGATGCCTACGCCCACGATAGACCTTCACTGAGTTTGATCCATTTCGTACTCTGTTAGCCCCGCAACGCATGAGCGCCACAGCATGAAATCAAACATTCGAAACCTCAATAGTGCCGAATCGGCACTATTGAGGCACTATTCTGATTAGTGCCGGTGCCCTCAATAGTGCCGATATTATCTCTGGGCACCTGTCCGTCAACGGCGCCTGCTCTTTGCGGGGGCCGTGGCAAGACAGCCAGACGGGCGGCTTCCGAAACGGCTGATGTTCGGCGAGTTGGTGGGAGGGGAGAACGCGGGCCGGGGAAGCCCGGAGCAGAACTGGCTGATATGCCTGAAGGACGACCTGAAGATGTTCGAAGCCAGACACGGCTCCACGCCCGACAAGCGGAGCTTCTTCGGAATCCCGAAGCCACACTGGGACGAGGCGGCGAAGGTGGAGGGGGGGGTACCGTGGCACGCGGGGGTGCTACAGGGAGCTGAGAGGTTTATGGCCTCTTGGCAAAGGGCGAGGAGAAGGCCAGCCGACAACGAACCATCAAACGAGGAGACAGCGGGCCCAAAAATAGTCTAGATACGGCACCAATCAACGGG